TGTGCATTTAAAAACATTATACAGGTAAATAAGTTTGGTTGAACTGGTCAGTAACTTATAAATTAGTCTAAAGATCAGTATGAAAAATTGTATTGTGATTTTGCCCCAAAACAAATCGTGATATGATATTTTTCCCATATCGCCCACCTCTACCTTCAAGAGCGGGAAAAAGTAGCGAATACTGAAATGATACACTGGCTATAATGCATGCAGTCAATATGCCCGCTATGGACTTTCAAGGTAGAAATACTCAAAACTCTTTGTGTTTTTGATAAAATTACAATGCTAGAATAAAATATAGACACATTTAGGAAAAGTCATGGTCCTGTAGTTACATAGGTTTATTTTAAGTAAGTTATTACATTGCAAAATTAAAAACTGTCAAAATGACTGCCTTGGTCTTTCTAGTGTTAAGGGATGTTGATCTAATAAATAATTCAGTCATCAGTTACTGACATTAATACAATAATTTGTGATGTCACATTTCTGAAGTGTCTGAGACGGGCATTTTCAACATAATGTGTCCTGTACCATGTCAAGTACAATGACATATTCACAATACATCACCCTTTGTTCACAGGACTTCCAGGCTCTGTCCACGATGCAGGGTCCTGCGGTGGAGTTCTCTGTACGCACACCAACTCTACCCCCCTCATGGCTGGTGTATTGTTGGGGATGGGGGTATCCCTGCCTGGCTGCACCAATCAGCTTGAGGGAGCCGGTGCAAAACCCTGTTCATGTACGATACAACCAGCATCATGCCAAAGCACGGTGTGTGGTGGAAAGGGCGATTGGCATGATGAAGACGCGGTGGCGCAGCATCTTCCTCAAGGCCCTGGAGGTGAGAGACAGCATTAATGTGTAAATCTAAGTACACACTAGTTGAATAGTGCTGAGCAGTGGCTATTAAATATAAGCAGCAAAGTAATACAGGTATGGACATTCTGAGACAATAATGAAAACAAAGAGCAGCGTAATGCGAGCTATTCAATCAAGTTTACTTTCATTATACAGCTACATTAAACTTGTATTTTTTCCTGTAGATCAAGCCAACCTTTGTTCCTGCAGTGGTGTCGACTGTGTCTTCCTCCACAACCTCTCCATCAACAATGGGATTTGGTGGAGCCAGAGGTGGAGGAGGGGGCCTTCCATGACCAGGGTGATGACCACTGGGACCACCCTGATGATGCCAGGAGACAACACATGAGAACAGGCTGGCAGCAGAGTTTTTGCACCTATTGGGGTCATCCAAGCACTGCAGGACCATAACTACTAACATATATATTTTCATTTCCACTACTTTTATTTACGGAGATTTAGGTTTTGTTTGTTCACAAATATAATTTTTCATGAGCATGCTCACATTGCATTTTCTGTTAATAAAAGTGGCTGTTTCACATTTTGCCTATTTGGATTTCACTTAGAAGTGTCTGTGTTTTAGTCGTTTCTGTACAGGGGAGGGAGGAGAGACCACCACTACATCCTGAAGAGTCAATGGTGACCGGACGTGTTATTGAAGGCCTCCGACCCAGTGCCTCGTCCATCAGGGCATACCATTTCCAGGATGCAGCGGTGGCCTCTCCTCCCTCCGTGTTCACTCCCGTTTTGGGGACACACACACACCACACACACACAGACACACACACTTGTGTAAAGGCTACATTAAAGTCATTGCAGGTGATCTCACACCTTTGGAAGGCAGCAGCTTACTTATGCCTACCTTGTATTTTTGTTTGAGGTTCTCCCACTTGTGCTTGATCTTCCCCGCGTCCACTTTCCCCACCAGGGCACGCTCTCTAGGGGGCACTGGTATGATAGAACTGATCCAAAGGGCACAAGACAAATTTGGACTCCACCATGGTGAGTTCCTCAAGTCCATGAAGAATCTTACAGATCCCAGCTGTGGCTGAATGTCTTTCAATTCTCTCCAACAGACATCACACCCGGGTCAGGAAGGGGCCCTACCACACAAGATTATATGAGGATTCATCGCTTATATTTTGTGTGTTTTTAATAGAACTGCCAACTTGCTCTTCCTTATAATCATAACCTCGTGTTGATTCCTGACCTGGGTCCGAGGCCTGTGCCAGGTCTGCAGTCTGTCAGTGCAAGACACATGTAATGGCACAATCTTGTAGTTCGAGGTGCTGAAACGGGCACTTAGATAAAGAAGCCCCACCAAGTGGTTCCAAAGGGCTCTCCCTGCAGCACAGGAACAAGATGTGGACCTTATCACTATGGGAACCTTGGCAGCTTCCAATGTGATCTGTTAGGGGAAGTAACAAAAACAATTACAGGTTTTCACAACCAAGAAGATTACTATTACAACACATCATAGAATATGATAGGATACAATAAATATGCTCTTAATTTAATATTCATTTGGTGTCTCATGATGCCTTGGTCAGGAGTAATGGCAGGAGTATGTACCAAACATACATGTGTTTTAGATTTTTGAAATGTAGATTAAGGTCAGTAACAGGTTTACCTTAGATCAAGAAATACTCAAGAACATACGAATTGTGTGGAGTGATTTTCATTTGAACTTTGACTACAGACAGGCAACATCAGACAGCAAGAACAGCAACCTAAAATGATTTTAACATGGAAACAACAGACTGCAACTGTAGTAAAGTTACCTTGATGAACTTTACAGTCACATCAGACTGTAGTAAAGTTACCTTGATGACACTTTAACAGTCACATCAGACTGTAGTAAAGTTACCTTGATGACACTTTAACAGTCACAACAGACTGTAGTAAAGTTACCTTGATGACACTTTAACAGTCACATCAGACTGTAGTAAAGTACCTTGATGACACTTTAACAGTCACAACAGACTGTAGTAAAGTTACCTTGATGACACTTTAACAGTCACAACAGACTGTAGTAAAGTTACCTTGATGACACTTTAACAGTCACAACAGACTGTAGTAAAGTTACCTTGATGACACTTTAACAGTCACAACAGACTGTAGTAAAGTTACCTTGATGACACTTTAACAGTCACATCAGACTGTAGTAAAGTTACCTTGATGACACTTTAACACAGTCACAACAGAATGTAGTAAAGTTACCTTGATGACACTTTAACAGTCACATCAGACTGTAGTAAAGTTACCTTGATGACACTTTAACAGTCACATCAGACTGTAGTAAAGTTACCTTGATGACACTTTAACAGTCACATCAGACTGTAGTAAAGTTACCTTGATGACACTTTAACAGTCACATCAGACTGTAGTAAAGTTACCTTGATGACACTTTAAACAGTCACATCAGACTGTAGTAAAGTTACCTTGATGACACTTTAACAGTCAAATCAGACTGTAGTAAAGTTACCTTGATGACACTTTAACAGTCACATCAGACTGTAGTAAAGTTACCTTGATGACACTTTAACAGTCACATCAGACTGTAGTAAAGTTACCTTGATGACACTTTAACAGTACAACAGACTGTAGTAAAGTTACCTTGATGACACTTTAACAGTCACATCAGACTGTAGTAAAGTTACCTTGATGACACTTAACAGTCACAACAGACTGTAGTAAATTACCTTGATGACACTTTAACAGTCACAACAGACTGTAGTAAAGTTACCTTGATGACACTTTAACAGTCACATCAGACTGTAGTAAAGTTACCTTGATGACACTTTAACAGTCACAACAGACTGTAGTAAAGTTACCTTGATGACACTTTAACAGTCACATCAGACTGTAGTAAAGTTACCTTACCTACTTCAACCAATAATGATTCACGTAATATTACTTTAAACATACCTTAGTTAAATAATCATATTATCTTCGGTGATCTTATTTTTTTAAGAAATAGCCTATGAAACAACAATATATATAAATCTATTGTTCAACAAGTTTGAGGACTTACGGGAACTACAAGTCCAGGAAAAAAGAAAGATTGAAAGAAAGATTCTTAAAGCACACCAAGCACTTCACCTTCAAATCAAAATAATAAGCCATCGATAATAAACACAAAAAAATGATGATAGTGACAGAAACAGTAACTGATAATAACAGAGATTCAACGCTTCAGTATATGAAAGCTATGTAGCATAATGGTTATAGCAGCGCCACGTCGATATAGAGACTCGGGTTCGGTTCCTGAAACCGCCCAACGAAATTTATGTTTTAACGTTTACTTTATTGGGAGATTATAACTCAAAATGCTCCCGAACAGGAGACGTTTTCCTCTTTCTCACAGGCTCCATTTCTCCAAAAAAAGAGAAGCAAAACTACAACTCCCAACAACCAACTAACACACAAACTCACGAGGAGACATGACAAGTGGGTTTCACTTCCTCTTATCCAAAACCGAAACACAAACAGATCAATGACGTAGACTCGAAGTGAGGAAAGAAAGAAATGTGCCTCCTACTCGACACACGCTTCAAAGCCTCGGTGTCAAACGTAACATTACTAATCTGGACTTTTACCTGAAACTGAATCCACAAACCGGATAAGAGGTAAAAAAAAAAGAACAAAGAATACAGATTAAAGGAACTTTGAGTGACAGGGAGTGACTCCCAGCTGTTCGTCTCCTCGTCTTCAGCTTGAGATAAAATGGCGTCCAAGTTAGAGGAAGATCTGAGCTGTCCGGTCTGCCTCAACATCTTTAAAGATCCAGTCATCCTGTCCTGCTGTCACAGCTTCTGTAGAGAGTGTGTGAAGAACTGCTGGAAGAAGAAGGAGAACAAGGAGTGTCCGGTTTGTAAGAGGAGACATTCAAAGGATACCTCCTAACTTTACTTTAAAGAACCTGTGTGAGAGTTTTGTGCAGGAGAGAGATCAGAGAGCTTCAGAGGATCTCTGCAGTCTGCACTCTGAGAAACTCAAACTCTTCTGTCTGGACCATCAGGAGCCGGTGTGTGTCATCTGCAGAGATTCAGAAAAACACAGCAAACACACAATCAGACCCATCGATGAAGCTGCTGGACAACACAAGAAGAAACTTCAGGAAACTCTGGAGCCGGTAAAGAAGAAGTTAAATGTTTTTAAAGAAGTTAAAGTGAAGTTTGATCAAACAGCAGAACACATTCAGGTCCAGGCCCGACACACAGAGAGGCAGATTAAGGAGCAGTTTAAGAAGCTTCACCAGTTTCTAGAAGAGGAAGAGGAGGCCAGGCTGTGTGCACTGAGGGAGGAAGAGGAGCAGAAGAGTCAGAGGATGAAGGAGGAGATGGAGGCTCTGAGCAGAGAGATAGCAGCTCTTTCACACACAGTCAGAGACACAGAGGACGAGCTGAGAGCTGAAGACGTCTCATTCCTGAAAAACTACAAGGCTGCAGTGGAAAGAGTCCAGCAGCGCCCCCTGCTGGAGGATCCACAGCTGCCCTCAGGAGCTCTGATAGACCAGGCCAAACACCTGGGCAACCTGAGCTTCAACATCTGGAACAAGATGAAGGACATGGTCTCCTACAGTCCGGTCATTCTGGACCCAAACACTGCTCATCCAAACTAACATCCTGTCTGAAGATCTGACCTGTGTGACACGAGGAGAGAGACAGAAGCTTCCTGATAATCCAGAGAGGTTTGATTATTACTGCTCTGTCCTGGGCTCTGAGGGCTTTAACTCAGGGACTCACAGCTGGGACGTCCAGGTTGGAGACAATACATTCTGGGAACTGGGTGTGTTAGCAGAGTCTGGACAGAGGAAGGGAGACAAAGAGTCTGGACGTTGGTCAATATGGTTCTATGATGGTAAATACAGAGCATACACCCCACCACATCCATCCACTGCTCTCTCAGTGAAGAAGAAGCTTCAGAGGATCAGAGTGAATCTGGACTGTAACAGAGGAGAGCTGTCCTTCTCTGATCCTGATACTAACACACACATACACACCTTCACACACACTTTCACTGAGAGGATGTTTCCATACATTTTACACTGGTGATAAACTCCCACTGAAGATGTTACCAGAGAAGATCTCTGTGACTGTGTCGTCCTGATGTCTCTGGTTGTCTTTATGACAGAGCTCAGATCTGTTTGGTGTAACTCAGGGACTCACAGCTGGGACACTGTGGGGGGGTAGAGTCTGTCCCTGTTCTCTGAGTGAAGAAGAGGCTGCAGAGGATCACAGTGAGTCTGACACCAACACACACTTTCACTGAGAAACAGTTTGCATGCATCAGAACTGAGAGAAGAACTCCCACTGAGGACTTAACCACTGAATCTCTGTGACTGTAGATTTAAAAAAACATCTTGATGATTAGAATCAAATTTCACTCATTTTTCTTAAGCGATATTTGAACACCTTAACAATCAATGATCCATTAATGATGAATAATTAATGAGCCATAAAAAGCTCGTCTTCTTCTCAGTTTATGTTTTGTTGAAGTTATTTTAAACATGAATTCATTAAATACAATCAGTTTGAAATAATTAAACTACGAGGCTCTCTCTTAAAAACAACGTATTGTCATGATTTGGTCTTATGTAGTTTGTATTTTCAGTTTGTCTCCTAGCTTAGTTTCTAGTGTTTTTATTTTGTATTTCCTATACCTGTGTTTCTTTGTTCTAGTGTGTTTTCTTGGTAATGTTTCATTCTTGAGTTCTGTGTGTCTTTTAGTGTTTCATGATTTAGTTTGTAGTTGTCCTCAGTGTTTCTTGTATTGTATTCCTGCCTCTGTGTGTTTCCCTCCGTGTTGATGACCCTCATTGTCTTCACCTGTGTCGTTAGTCTCACCTGTGTCTGATTACCCCATGTGTCTATTTAGTCTCTGTGTTTCTTGTCCTCTGTGTCAGTTCATTGTTTGTTGGTATTTGTCAGTTTTTGCTCGTGCTCCTGTGTGGCTCTCTGTTTTTGATCCCTGTGTTTTTTTGTTGAACTTTTGGAAGTAAGTTTTTGTTTATTAAATATATTTAGTTAATTCTGCACGTGGGTCCAGTTCCTTGTTTTTCCCCTGAACGTGACACGTATAACTGTCCTTATCACCTGTTCTGAGTTTGAGTCTTTCTGGAGCTTCATCCTGTAAAGGTTCGGCTCTGTGGGTTTGTTATCATGTTTGAAATGTCAAATATAAGACCTGAAGACTGTTCATATTTCTTTACCATCTTCATGTTCAGAGGATGAACCCTCCTCTGAAGAACGCTTTACGTTCTTTAGAACAACAAAGAGTTTAAATATGTGGTTAGTGTGAATCCTGTTCCTGTAATCATTAATAAAGTTTCTTGATCTGAATCCGTCTTTATGACTCGTGTTGTGTTTCATTGATCTTGTAAAAGTCATCATGGAGGAGTGTCTCTCCTGAGAGGAGGAGTTTGTCTCTGTCAGTCATTATAAAGTTATTCTGATTATTTCAGGTGTTTCTTTAAGTCCAGTCTAAACCTGCGACCTGAACCTTTCAGATCCAGTGGATCAGTGTCGTCTCTGACTCGTCCGTCAGGTCGGAGAGGAGTTAGATTCAGAGATCCAACGAGCTCTGGAGAACACGGGGTTAATGATTGAAGGTCAACGACCTGATGAACATCACGTGTCCGAGCAGCGAGCAGCACCTGAGCAGCGAACTACGGGTGAGCGTATTGCATCATTTCCTGTTCTGTTCTCCTCTGTACTGTGTTACTGTGTACCTACTCTTAGCTTAGCTTAGCAGTTAGCTTCTTTTTCTGTCTCTCCCTCTCCTGCTCTCTCCTGCTCTACGTGTCAGATGTTAAGTTACTCCTCGTCCTCCTTTAGTGATAATGATACTTGTAAGAAATGTAGTTTATTTTTAGCTTTGGAGGCGAGGGTGTCTGAGTTAGAGAGACGGCTCCGCACCATTGAGTCAGAGTCATCGTACGCAGCAGTAGTTAGCCAGCCACCTGTAGCCGGTGGGGCCGACATAGCTTGGCTTCCCCCCCGGTAGCTCCCGAGCAGCCGGGAGGCGGTGGGGGTTACTGTCCGAGGGAAGCATAGTCGAAAATCGAAGCTCACGTTCCCACCAACCACTTCACGTTTCAAACAAATTTTCCCCACTCAGCGACACACAGAGAATAAAACTCTGATTATTGGAGACTCCATATCCGAAACGTGAAGCTAGCGAAGTCAGCGGGCATAGTTAGGTGTATACCGGGGCCAGAGCGGGCGACATCGCATCTCATTTAAAGTTGCTGACAAAGACTAAAGGTAGATTGATACAATCGTAATTCATGTCGGCACTAATGACTCCGACTACGCCAGTCGGAAGTCACTAAG